GCAAAATTGGTAAGCCTTTGTGTGCAGACAATGCCTAAGAGCTCTAATACAATTTCATCTTTTTTCCTTTGTTTCTCTGCAGGGAAGATGAAATGGGGGTTGAGGAAGAGACAACTAAAAGTCGCAGTCGGAAGCGTCATTCCGATGGCTCGACCAAGATTTCCTCCTTTTTCAAGGCGAATGACTCTCACTCTCGCAATACCCATCGCAGCCAATCCTTCTTTGTTGCCGCTGGTCTCTCTCCAGTGGAGAACCTTTGACACTACCCCTCACCGTTTGAAGACTGTGCATTTGGCGTTTAAATGACATCTTTATCGCGAGACTAGAGCTTCATCGCCCTTAGAATGGAGACGTTAAAAGTGCTTAGAGGGGTGAAAAATGGGAGGAATTTGTGGGGCTAAAAATGAGGTGGTGTAATCGAGTCATTAACCATGATCCCCACTGATGTGGTTTTATAGCGAAAACATTTGACAAAGGCGAGAAAAATGAGTTCAAAGAGCGAAGTACAAAACCGTTTTCTTCTAATAAAAGTTCCAAAGACGGATCAGTTTTCACAGCTTTGATATACACAAACGAAGAAAAATGGCTTCTTCAAAGGGCCTTGCGAATGGAAGGGTGGCAGGGCGGCTACCCCACCGTTGCTGTACTTTGAATGCAAAATAGGACGAACAAAAATGTGAGGTAGGAATAGGTGGACATTAGATATCCGACAAGTTGCCAAGGCGGTGCTCCACTATTATAATGGAAGCTAAAGTTGGGTTTTGGGACCATCCTATTCTCTTTCCATGATTTTTATACTTTTGACTTCATTGGTTACTGATAGTCCATTCCCTGTCCCCAATATGCCTTTCTCCTTTAATTGAATCCGGACACTGGTGAGATTGGTGTTTCTTTAGGCAGCGTCGAAGTACTTTTCAGAGGGAGGTCTAGCTTGAATGTTTTTGCAGAAAAAGAACGCACAGGAATCTGCAAACGCATCGGCACTGCTTCTCTCCAGCACCCCTGAGTCATGCATACGGGGTCTGCTTAGCCCGGTATGTCCATAATCTAGGCCACGTTTTATAATCCGAGTCCGCCTGAAGAAGCATCGTCCTGCTAACTGACTAACTAGCTTCCTCCTCTTTACGTGTTTTTTTGCGTTCAACTACACCTCCTCTTCACTTTTGATGATTCTTTTGCCATTAGATCTCCAATTCCTCCATAGCCTAACAGCAACCTCACTTCAAATCGAAGCGCTGGTAAGCGACTTGATCTCTTTGGCCGGGTGTCTACCCAAATTGTCACCTGACGCTTCTATTTGGAGGGATCTGCCACGAAAGGGACAAGGATTTGACCCTGACTCTTCAGAGCAAAACATGAGGTCTTGCGCAGGAAAATGCAATGAAAAGAACACAGAAGGGCCCACCCTCCATGTTACTTCTGAGCAAGCATTCCATCGGCAAGACTGTGTGTTCTACAGAGGATGGCCTCCACTTTTAGCCTCTGCTGTCAATGCACCTCACTCATTCATAGCGTGATTTTGAAGTCTCATCACTTACCTTATGCTGATTTCTTGGTATCCCGTTCACAATGCATGATAATAATGATAATGATCAAGTCAAGTAATGCAGACACAATAAGACTGCCAAAATCCGTTTTACTGAGTGCAAATTTATGGTTCGGATGAATTTCGACTTGCAGACCTAAGAAATGGCAAAATTAAAGGAGTAGCATGACAGTCTGAGAGTCAACTCGCCATCCTTAGGTGGTTCGGTTTTAATATCATTGCTTCGTCAGTACATCGACACTTGAGCACAGGATTTGTCCCTTCTGCGGTGACCAAAAGCTGAAATTTGCTGGATATCTAGTGCACCTCAATAATGGCTTTCGCTAGAGTCAAAAAATCATTTTACAAGTAAATTCGTCGCACAGTCGCCCAGCACCCTCAAAACGTCCTGCCTGAGATTGTCACAGACGGAATTGTGATCCGTCTACGAAGCACCCCATTATTGCATGCTGCTCTAATTGCGTGAGACTACTTTTGTCCACTGTCATCTTGACTAGGCTACCGCTCAACAATATCACACTTGTCATTCCCTACTTTGCACAGTGCATTCGTGTGATAGACTAAGGCTCGCATTTGGACTAGAAAACCAACCTCATCTGGCCACCTTACTCCTTCCTCTTCCCTCTAGAAAAGGAAAATAGTTTGGTAGACGGCCAATTAGTGACAAGTTATGTTGCCATAAGAATAGATTGGTGACATCACAAACACGCCTACCTGGAGTGAAGGGGAAGAATGGGTGCTATCACAATTTACCAACTCTCACTGATTTTGAGTCGGACGGAGGCGGGAGTGTAGAATCAAAGTTAGAAAACAGATGTCATGGTACAAAAAAAGGAAAATAGAGCAGCTGAGCTAGCGAGCTCAGAAGTATTGCATCCCATTGCTGGTTGTAGCCGTAGAGTTGCCGTTGGTGGCAGTGGTTGAGACTTCAGCGTGGCCAGTCCGAGCACGCTCCCTTGCCCGACGCTTGAGGAGGGGGTTGGAGGTGTCAGCCAGCTTCTTCAGTTGCGGAGTGTTGCTCTCTGTGCGCATTATCTGCAATCCCTCCCGGAAGCCCTCCTGCTCAAAAGTATAGGACATGCAGGTGGATAACCGTTTAACACTTTCATTACAGGCATCGCATATGAAATTTTTTACTAATACTATCAGCATTGGCAAAGTGAACAACTTAGTAATAGCTTGGAGACGAAAAAAAAAAACATTGCCTCACTCTATAAGAAACAAAACTAGTGACAACACCATTAAACGCAATAATGAAGATGCAGCATGATGCTAGAGGGTGTCAAAAGGCGGAGCTTCGAGGTTGTACGCAAGCAGTAGCGAACATGTTAAACATATTGGCCCTGAGGTGGCCGATCTATCCTCGTTTCCAGGGAAAAAATAAATGAAACCTGAGCAGGTGGTCGGAGGCCACGCAAAACCGAAGTGAAAATGCATTTCCCCCTTCTTCTCCTTCTCCTTTCCCCC